ATGCTCGCCAGCTCGCTTTTTTCTCCTGTTTTTTTTTTTTTTTGTAACTTCAATGCCTACCCACCAAATTCAAAAGCGGGTTGCAGCGATATTCGGCAAATTTAATCCTTTAGGATTTTCTATTGTGATTTCAGTGAAAGGAATACGTTTAAATACCAGATTTGAAGTTTGAATTCGAAATACGTTTTCAGTTTTCTATATTTTTTTTTCTCTTCTTCTTCTTCTTATCGATTTTTAAACAACAACATTTATGTTAGTTTTGAAATACAATTCAGTGAAGTGGCAAATGGCATCTAATGAAATTAAAACTGGATTTTTACAGGGGTTTTTGAAAATACAATTTGGTGGCCTGGAGCGGGGTGAGATTAGGGATAAGGGGCTTAAATAAAAAAAAGATTAAATAAAATCTACGAAGTAAGGTTATAGGCCTAGTGGATATATATTTTAAAATCCTTGGTATTTTCAATAGCATTAAAATGGCTTGCCAGATTGTCATATCTAATGTTTATTACAAAATTTAGAAAATTAATTTGGCAGCAACTCAAACTTAAATATTGCATAGACTTAGGGATAGGTTCAGAGGGTAGGGAAGGTGATCGCAATTATCACAATTATAGACCGATACATTCGCCTGAGGCTAGCTACTCCGCAGTAAAGGCCTCTACAGTAGAGGTCTCTCAGAGCCAGCAACTCAACAGTAGGTGCCTCCACTATGCAGTATTTGTCTCTGCTACCAGCTACTTGCAAGAAGTGGCCCCTACCTTCATGATTTGCTACTAACCAATAGTTGCCATTATGTTATAATTTAACAGAGCTGACGCTTTTTAAGGATTGTTGTTGATTTTATCGATTCAATGTACAGGGAAATGCTCTCGAATAGATTTTTGAGAGCATGTCTATCATACCTGATATTTTTTTCCGCGTATTTCTGCTATTTTTCGGCGATATCGGAGTAACATATTTTTCTAAAATTTCCAATGCATTTCTGTTATGTCGCCTGTCATCTATTACTTGATAGAAAATTAAAGCCCATATGCCTTTTGTCCAGTCTTTATAGTTTTATGGCTTTGTAGTTGCCTCGGAGGATATCTATCCTATAGTAGAGGTCTCTGAGGCTAGCTACTCTACAGTAGAGGCCTCTGATGCCATGAACTTACCTGTATTTGCCTCTGAGGTTCTGTACTTGACTGAAGAAGTCTCTGAGGTCCGCTACTCGCTCGTAAAGGCCTCTGAAGCCAGTAGTAACCTCTGAGGCTGGATACTTGCCAGTACATAATACTCTTAAGCCATTGGTAGCCTCTGAGGCTTGCAACTTGCCAGTATTCGCTTTTGAGATTAGGTACTTGCCAGTAGAGGCATTCAAGATTTGCTACTCGCCAGTAGTGGTCTCTGAGGAAATCTGCTCTACAATAGAGATCTCTGAGGACATTTACTCTACAATAGAGGTCTCTGAGGCCAACTACTATACACCAGAGGTCTCTGAAGTCAGCTACTGTATACTAGAGGCCACGGAGTCAGCTGCTCTATTCTACAGGTCTTAGGCCAGCTACTCTACAGTAGTTAAATCTGAGGCCAGCTTTTCAACAGTAGAGGCTTCTGAGGTAAGCTACTCTACAGTAGAGGCCTCCGAACCTAGCTACTGTACAGTAGCCAGCTACTCTATAGTAAAGGCCTCTGAGGCCAGCTACTCTATAGTAGATGGCGCTGAGGCCAGCTTCTCTACAGTAAAGGCCTCTAAGGTCAGTAGAGGCTTCTTAAGTAGCTAAGGTCAGCTACTCTACAGTAGAGGCCTCTGAAGCATCTATTCAACAGCAGAGGCCTAACACCAGCTACTCAACAATAGGTAATTCGGAGGTCAACTACTCTACAGTAGAGACCTCAGAGGCCAGTTATCCTACATTAAAGGCATCTGGAGCCAGCTACTCTACCCCCAGAGGCCTCTGAGGCAATCTGCTTTACAGTATATTCCTCTGAGGCCAGCTACTCTACATTAGAGGCCTCGGAGGCCAAGTACTCCACAGCAGAAGTCTCAGAGGCCACCAACCGACAGTAGAGACCTCGGAGACCAGCTACTCTACAGTTGATGGCTCTGAGGACAACTACTCAAAAGTAGTGACCTTTGAGGCCAGCTACTCTACAGTAAAGACCTTCGAGGGCAGATTCTCTATAGTGAATGCCTCTGAGGCCATCAACTCTACAGTAGCTTCCTCTAATGGTAATTTTTTATACTTCTGGACACTCTGGCCTGCAGCTCTTTTATATGAACTCTTGGTGGCATCCAACTCTTCCTTATGGAATCCTTGGCTTCTAGTTTTCGGTTCGTCCATATGGACTCCCTAATTTTCAGCTCGTCCATATGGACTCCCTAGCCTGCAGCTCGTCCATATGGACACCCTGGCTTTCAGCTCTTCTATATCGCCTGTCCTAGCCTTTAACTCGCCTGTATCGACTCCATGGTCTTCAGTTCGTCTGTATCGACTCCCTGGCCTTTAGCTCGTTTGTATCGATTCCTTAGCTATCGACTACCTGGCCTTCAGCTCGTCTACATCGACTCCCTGGGCTTCAGGGCATCTATATCAACTTCCTAGTCTTCCGCTTATCTATATGGACTCTCTGGCCTCCAGCTCGTCTATATGTATATCCTACCTCCAGCTTTTCCATACGGAGTCCCTGGCTTCAAGTCGTCTATATGGACCTGGCCTTTAGTTCGTCTGTACAAATTCTCTGACCAGGAGCTCCCCTATATGGACTCCACGAGCTCTAGCTTGCCTGTATGAACCCCCCTGTCCTCCAGCTTATCTATAGACTTCGCGGCCTCCAACTCATCTACATAGTCTCCTTGGTCGTTAGCTGGTTCTATATGGACTCCTCGGCTCCACCTCATCAAAATGAATTCCCTGGCCTACAGCCCGACTATATGGACTCCCCGGTCTCTAGCTCATCTGTGTATATCCTCCGGCCTCCAACTCATCTACATAGACTCCTTGGTCATAAGCTCGTCTATATGAACTCCTAGGCCTTCAACTCGTTAAAATGAATCATTAGCTACAGCTCGAGTATTTGAACTCCTTTGCCTCTACCTCGACTATATAAACTTCCTAGCCTCTGGTTCATCCATATGAATTCTCTGGCTTTTAGCTCGTCTTTACAAAGTCATTGGTCTTCAGATAGTCTAAATGGGTCCCCAGCTCGTCTGTATTGACTTCCTGAACTCTCTAAACGTCAACTATTCTTCATAGACTCCCTGGTTCTTAGATCGTCTATATGAACGGCCTGATCGCCAGCTCGTCTTTTTCCTCCAAATTTGCTATAATTTGATATTCTGTACTCATCGATAAACTTATACCTCACAGTTGATAGGATGCTATAGGCATATTTCTTTTGTAGAAAATGCTGAAGCACTGAGTTTGACATAAATTTATTATTTTTTTTATCTTAAAAGATTTGGAACATGTGCCATAAACAGTTCTGCTATATATCCAAATTCAAATATTAAAAAAAAGAAATACGGGACCAAATCGGATTTAATTTAAAATTTTTCGAGTCACATGGCTTCAATTTGTGACCCTTCAAAATTCATACTCTCTGTCAGTTAAAGGTCGATCTTTGTTTGTTAAAAATATTGTAGAGATGTAGAGAAAGTATTTCCGATACACAAAATCGACTATATCTGAAATTATTTATTTTATATAGGCCATTTCGTATAAGGTCCATACCTTAACCTACCCTAGTTTTTTTCGATTTATGCTGTTTTTTTTTTTAAAAATCTTCATTTTTATACCCTCCACCTTGGAAAGGAGGGTATATTAACTTTGTCATTCCGTTTGTAACATCCTTAAATATTCGTCTTAGACCCCATAAAGTATATATATTCATAATCAGCATAAAATTCTAAGTCGATTTAACGATGTCCGTCTGTCTGTCTGTCTGTCTGTCCGTCTGTCTGTCTGTCTGTCTGTCTGTCTGTCTGTTGAAATCACGATACAGCCCACATTATTTGACGTAGAGGGCCAAAATTTAGCAGAGCTATTTGCATTGTGTCTAGGATGGTTGGTATTGAAAATGAGATATATCGGTCCACGTTCTGGTATAGTCCCCATATAACGGTACCTTCCGATATTCGGTATTTTGATGATTTATGCCACATTTTTTCACGGATTTGTCTGAAAATTGGTATTTGTAGGTCATAACGGGTCCCTGAGCGTGTGGCAAAACATTGCATGTATAGGTCCACGTTGTAGTATAGCCCCCATATAAAGGTACCTCCCGATATTCGGTATTTTATTTTTTTTTTTTTGCCACATTTTTTCACGGATTTGTCTAAAAATTGGTATATGTGGGTCATAATGGTTTCCAGCTCCGGTGGCGAAACATTGCATGTATGGGCCCATGATTTGGTATAGCCCCCATATAACGGTACCTCCCTATATTCGGTATTTTGATGGTTTTTGCCACATTTGTTCACTGATTTGTCTAAAAATTGGTATTTGTGGGTCATAATGGGTCCCTGAGCGTGTGGCAAAACAATGCATGTGTAGGTCCACGTTTTGGTAAAGCCCCCTTATAACGGTACCTCCCGATATTCGGTAATTGGATGATTTTTGCCACATTTTTTCACGGATTTGTCTGAAAATTGGTATTTGTTGGTCATAATGGGTGGCGAAATATTGCATGCATGGGTCCATGATTTGATATAGCCCCCATATAACGGTACCTCCCGATATTCGGTATTTTGATGATTTTTGCCACATTTTTTCACTGATTTGTCTAAAAATTGGTATTTGTGGGTCATAATGGTATTTGTGGGTCGTGTGGCAAAACATTGTAATTATAGGTCCACCTTTTGGTGTAGCCTCCATATAACGGTACCTCCCGATATTCGGAATTTTAATGGTTTTTGCCACATTTCTTCTAATGTTTCTTTTACCCTAAGGTGGAGGGTATTAAAAGTTTGGCCCGGCCGAAATTAATGTTTTTTTACTTGTTATTACTTTTTTCAGCTCTGAAATATTGCCGAAATTGTCTTCTAATAATATCTGAAGACCTCGAAGTAAAAAGGTGAAAAATCTGGAACAAAAGGTAAGCTCAAAAGACTCCTTTCCCTTATATCTGATTTTGACTTGTACATACATTTTTAAAACTAAAAATTAGCCTAAAAAAAAAAACAAGGTTGGCTTTATGGACCATATCTCCCTCTTTTTGATTATCAGCCCCTGTATCTACAAAATCCGAATATTATCTCAATTTAATGTAAACCAATATTTCTCTCTACTTTCTCCCTTAATCCCTTTGATACATTAAAAAGCACCCAACATGATGTGGCTTGTCATATAAATTCCGAACATCATCCTTTATGTAATATTGGCTTAAAAGACAAACAAGAAACAAAAACGTCATCACAAATTATAAACTTGAAGACATTTTTATGTACCCCCCACAAAACTGAAAACTCAACCAAAAACTGAAAAAAAAACAAAAGAACATCAAAACAAACTTTCCGGTTAATCAATAAATTAACCATAAAATATGTTGAACAACATCTGAACACGCTTTCATTTATATTAAAATGTCATAAAATTTGCTCCACCACATTCAAAGTATTGCGCAAAATAAGGAGAAATGAAAACTGACAGATGATCGATGATTCAACTCGCCCCTGCCACAAAATGTTGCAAAAAAAAAAACTTTTTTCAAAAAAAAAAAAAAGAGAAAAACACAACTCTAAAATTTACCCTATTCTAATGGTGACTAATGTAGGGAGGAGAGGGAGAGTGGGAAGGGGGAACGGAAGTGGATGAGATGGCCAACAAATGGGTTTTTTTGGCAAAGAGAAGGGAACCAGAGTGGTTTTATGACAAATAAAAACTTCACATTCTACTTCTTGTTTTTCGTTGTTGTTGTTGTTGCTGTTGTTTTAGTTTTTGCTGGCATTCGTTCTACCCTTTCACAATTCGTTTTTCGTAGGTAATCGAAAAATAAAATCAACGTCCCTTTGCTAAGTTAGCAAATAATATAAAGTGAGGAGAAATAGTCCACAGAAACAGAAACAGCAGGCATCACCATAAAGGACTATGAATATTCGGAACTCCCACATGTATGTATGTATACCTACATACATACATACATAAATGAAATTGTATCCGCATAACTCAAGTATGTGCCGTAGTTGCTGATGTTGTTGTTGTAGTAGTGTTACTAGTTGGTCATTAGGCTATTGTGTTGCTGTTGTCTGTCCTGCCCCCCCACAAAACGCCGAAGAGACACAAATGTAACCATAACACTTTTGCCCTTTTTAGAGAGGTTTATAGCCACAGTACCCTACTCGAGAATAGGGGTGTGTATAAAGATTTTCCATCTTTATGGAAACACCCGGATTTAGCAACTTTGATAAAAAAAAAAATTAGAAAATAGACGAACGGGAGGCCAGGGATTCCATAGAGAGGAGCAGGAGGCCAGGAGGTCCAAAGAGACGACCTGGAAGTCAAAAAAATCCATTTAGATGTGGTGGAGGCCAGGGAGTTCATATAGACGAGCTGAAGGCGACGAAGTCTATTTAGATGACGACCTGCAGGACAGGGAGTCGATATAGGCGAGCTGGAGACCAGAAAGTCTACACGACGAGCTAAAGACCAAGGAGTTTACCTAGACGACCTGGGGCAAGGGAGTCGATATAGACGAGCTGAAGGACATTAAGTCCCTAGACGATCTGGAGGTTAGGAAGTCTATATAGACGACCTGGAGGCCAAGGAGTCAATATAGACGAGCTGGAGGCCATAGAAGTCCATATTGATGAGCTGGCGGCCAAGGAGTCGATATAGACGATCTGGAGGCCACGAAGTCTATATTGACGAGCTGGAGGCCATAGAAGACCATTTTGATAAGATAGGCGAGCTGGAGACCAGGGAGTCTACATAGAAGAACTGCAGGCCAAGGAGTCTATATAGGTGAACTGGAGGCCAGGGTGTCTATACAGACGAGCTGGAGGCCAGTGAGTCTGTACAGACGAGCTGGAAGCCAGGGAGTCTACATAGACCAGCTGAAGGCCAAGGAGTCGATACAGACGAGCTGGAGGTCAGGGAGTCTATAAAGACGAGCTGGAGGCCAGGGAGTCTATACAGACGAGCTAGAAGCCTGGGAGTCTATATAGACCAGCTGAAGGCCAAGGAGTCGATACAGAAGAGCTGAAGGACGGGGAGTCAATATAGACGAGCTGGAAGCCAGGGAGTCTATATAGACCAGCTGAAGGCCAAGGAGTCGATACAGACGAGCTGGAGGTCAGGGAGTGTATACAGACGAGCTGGAGGCCAGGGAGTCTATACAGACGAGCTAGAATCCAGGGAGTCTATATAGACCAGCTGAAGGCCAAGGAGTCGATCCAGAAGAGCTGAAGGACGGGGAGTCGATATAGACGAGCTGGAGGCCAGGGAGTCCATATAGACGAGCTGGAGGCCAGGGAGTCCATACAGACGAGCTGGAGGCCAGGGGTCTATACAGACGAGCTGGAGGCCAGGGGTCTATACAGACGAGCTGGAGGCCAGGGGTCTATACAGACGAGCTGGAGGCCAGGGAGTCTATACAGACGAGCTGGAAGCCAGGGGTCTATACAGACGAGCTGGAGGCCAGGGAGTCTATACAGACGAGCTGGAGGCCAGGGAGACCATATAGACGAGCTGGAGGCCAGGGAGTCCATATAGACGAGCTGGAGGCCAGGGAGACCAGGAAAACTGGAGACCAGGAAGCCCATATCGGGTATTCCACTATTCGCCACAACAGCACTCAATACCATTTCATTATTTGTGTCAGTGTATGTGAGTGTGTGAGAATGTGTGTGTGCTTGTGTTTTTCCTGCTTTATTTCAATGATGATGGAGTGGGTCGAAGTCACACATGTTATGACTCTAAGATCACTAATGTATTTTTTGTACATCCTCCAAATTGTTGTAGAGGGCCAGTTAGTGGGTGAAAAAGAAAATGGGAAAAAGGCGAAAACAACACCAACGACAGGAACTACAACAAAACTAACAATGCAAACAAATAACGAAACAGAAGAATGCCAGAGGTTTTTAATGTTAACTTGTTTTTCGCAGGAAACCGGAAACTGTTCAATGGCAACTTTTGCCAGCATTATAATATTTAATAAATTATACTAAATACATATAGAGAGACACACACACCCACACAAATGTATAGAGAAATATATATTTTTGTGTACATAATATAATACATTTGCCCCAAAACATAAGTACCTTCAACTACCAAGGATTTAGACAACAACAACAAGAACAACAACAACAGCAGCAGCACCAAAAATGTTTACATAAAAGTCTTGTTTTTTTTTTGTAAAAGAGAGGGAGAGGGAGCCATGGGTGAGCGGGAAACCCAGAGAGCATGTTTTGATGTTATGCATTATGGTAACACTACAATGGGTCACACTATAAAAATACCTACACATGTCGTTATAATATGAGTGATAGGGGTGAAGAGGAAGAGAGGAGGAGAGGGGAGAGTGGTTTTTCGTTGAGAAATATTATTTCATTTTGTAAGTAAGAGCCTAGTAAATATAATACCAAAAATTATGTTTTGACATGGAAAAAACAACATTTGTCGCATGGGACAAAAACGATGTGGGGAGGGAGGGAGTAAGACATTGAAGGCCCTCCCCAAAAACAAATATAATTAGATTTCTATAATAAACAAATAATTATGGGGTTTGGCTTGTAACCAATTTGGGAAAAATTGACTGCTAAATGGGATGACAAAAAAACTCATAACTACAAAATTGATTTCTAAAACCTTCATTTATCAAAATTAAATCGAAACCAATAAGCGAAGGACAAAAGTCGAGCGGGGCCGACTATATGATACCCTACACCACCATGCATATTAAGTAGTATTCCCGTAGCAAAAAAGGTTATATTGGGAATTTATGTGAAGTCGATCATACCAACTATGAACCTTATTTGAATGCGTATCAGGGCTTTAAAGTAGTCAACATTTGCGAACGATATCCAACTTTGAATAGATTTTCAAAAAATTTGTTGCAGCCATTTTTTACCTCTAAAACATTGCTTAACACCAAATCGGAGGAAACATATATATGGGAGCTATAACTATATCTGGACCGATTTTCAACAAATTTTAAGTGTTCGTTTCTAGAATGAATTCAGTCGGTATTTTAAAAATTCAGTACATTTGGGCTGATTTCAGCCCTCAATAAAATTTGACAGAGGTATTCTTGAGCTCCATAACTTATCTGGTATCAAATATCACTCGTGTGGAGTGCACAATAAACCTGATATGTAATAAAGATATATGTAGGAGAGCTATACCCTAATCTGATCCGATATCGATAAAATTTGTCAGAGGTATTTATGAGCTCCATAACTTATCTGGTACCGAATATAATTCTTGAGGAGAGCATATTACGCATGTGAGGAACCTTTAACTCCAAATCGGATGAAACATATACATAAGAGCTATAGCCGATTTTCACCAAGCACTTGATGAATTCAGTCGTAATTGCCGAGATTCAGTACATTTGGGCTTCATTTGGAACAAATATGATTCTTGTGAAGTGCATATTACGTATGTGAGGAACCCTTAACTCCAAGTCGGAGTCGGGAGCTATAGCTATATCTGAACCGATTTTCACCAAATTTGAAGCACTTGATGAATTCAGTCGGAATTGCCTAGTTTCAGTTCATTTGAGCTTCTTTTGGACCAAATTTCATTCTTGTGGAGTGCATATTACGCATGTGAGGGACTTAAAACCCCAAATCGGATGAAACATATGTATGGGAGATATAGCTACGTCTGAACAGATTTTCGTTATATTCGATATACTTGCTTCAAGAACGAATTTGGTCGGATGTGCCAAAATTCAGGTCATATGATATTGGCCATTTGGTGCACAATTAACCCAAAATCCGTTGAAGGCATATATGGGAGCTATTTCTACATTTGAATCGATTCTCATCAATTTCAATAGGGTATAAAAAAAAACAAGTTCAAAAACATTAAGTTCGGCCTGGTCAAACTTTTAATACCCTCCACCTCGGGGTAAAGGAAACATTAGAACCC